AATCATTTTAATACTTAGGATTCTCACTAGTTTTGTCTTCAGTTTGTGTCGGTTTTGCTTCTCTTGGCTTTTCTCTTGTATTCGAGGAAAGGGCTATCTCTTACAACTGCACGTGACTACACGCTTCAGGTTCTTCCTCACTTGACTCAACCACGAAGGATTCTGGTGCTTTAGGAATTGGTAGCCCCTCTCCATGAGGAACTGGACGTATTGCCGATGGAATATTTGGATAGTGCACAGATAACTTTTTCTTCTTATTTAGCCCTTTTACAATTGGAGGCACCATACAAAAGTAACAATTACTAACATGATCTGTTGGCTCTCTCCAAATCATTGGCACAGCGAAAGGCATAGATGCCTTTTTTCCATTCAACCATTGCTCCAGTGCCGTCCCACAAGAATTGCAGCATATATGTGGTGCCCAGCTCTTGTCCTGGTCTCCTATCTTGCAGCCAAAATACAAGTTGTAGGCTTTCTTAATCATTCCTGCTTTCCTTTTTTTGTGAGATAAAAGTTATTTCACCGCAGATATAGCAGAAATTATCTGCTTTATTCACACAAGTTCGAGGCATTACTGAGTAGCCTATATAAGCATAAAACGAAATGTAAAGACGCTGTCGAACTACAATCAGCTACAGATACTGCAGCTTTTATGCAGTGAAGTGATGCAATTAAAGGCTAATATTGCATCATCTCAGTATACATGCAATTTTCTATTGGTCACCAGTATCAATTGCGCAATATGCAGCTGAAGTTGCATCATAATTTTGAATGGCTTACGTCATTAGATGGGTGAATATATCATGGAAACTAGAGCCAATCAACATTTTTTAGGGTCATTTTCGTTTTCAGCACCCCAAAATTATGTAAGATTAGCTAATTTTATGCCCAAAACTTTTTACCTGTTGAACAGTGTTATTCTTTCAGAGGAAATTGATCAGAAAAGAAATCAATCATTTATCAAGGTGTTTATGGCCACCGTTGGTATGTGCCATCCAATTCTAAAACAAGGTTAGATGTAACATTTAAAGTGGAACTGCACTGCATCTAATACCACAAACCAAAAATGCTAGATATTTAGTTTTTAATATTCAAAACAAACTCGTCTATCCATCCACGTCTCCATGCTTTATTTTGCTGAGAAATCATTTTGAAAAACACCTCCTGGCATTTCTGGTAGCGGTCATCTTGAGTAAGGGCAGATGATTCATGTAGCATTGGCTGAGCTGAGAACCCTCCCTCCCTTCCTGAAGACTCCTGGGATGTATGACATCATTTGCCTAGGCATGGAAACCAGGAAGTAACTGAAAGAATGCAAAAAAAGAAGGTTAAAATTAAATATGATATACTTTCCTATCTATTTACTAATGCTAGCAGAATAAGGAATAGAAATAGTCCAAGTTGATTGAGACAGGGAAGTTCCACTTGAATCTACATTTGAATTTAGACAGAGGCATGTCTTGGATCAGACTGTTCTGTACATATACTGTATATATATTGTGCTGGTTCCTGGATCACAAGACTGTCTGCACAGAAATAACGTGTGTGCATTTTTACTTCTGCTTTAGCTGTAGAGCTGAGGTTTACCTAGAGTAAAGCTGAATCAAACAGCCATTGTTCTATATAACTTGTAACATTGTCCTCTGTTATTTCTTGCTGAAACATACACTGCTCATAACAATTAAAGGAACACTTTGTTAATCGGAGTCTAGCATCAAGTTGATTCAACTCCTGGGATATTGATCTGCTCAGTTAAATAGCAGAGGGGGTTGTTAATCAGTTTCAGCTGCTTTGGTGTTCATGAAATTAACCACAGGTGCACTAGATGGGCAACAATGAGACGACCCCCAAAACAGGAATGGCTTTACAGGTGGAGGCCACTGACATTTTTTCCCCACTCATCTTTTCTGACTGTTTTTTTCACTAGTTTTGCATTTGGCTAGGGTCAGTGTCACTACTGGTAGCATGAGGCGATACCTGGACCCTACAGAGGTTGCACAGGCAGTCCAACTCCTCCAGGATGGCACAGCAATATGTTCCATTGCCAGAAGCTTTGCTGTGTCTCTCAGCACAGTCTCAAGAGCATGGAGGAGATTCCAGGAGACTGGCAATTACTCTAAAAGAGCTGGACAGGGCCGTAAAAGGTCTTTAACCCGTCAGCAGGACTGGTATCTGCTCCTTTGTGCAAGGAGGAACGGAATGAGCACTGCCAGAGCCCTACAAAATGACCTCCAGCAGGCCACTGGTGTGAATGTCTCTGACCAAACAATCAGAAACAGACTTCAAGAGGGTGGCCTGAGGGCCTGACGTCCTCTAGTGGGCCCTGTGCTCACTGCGTGGCACCATAGAGCTCAATTGGAATTTGCCAACGAACACCAGAAATGGTAGGTCAGCCACTGGCGCCCTGTGCTTTTCACAGATGAGAGCCGGTTCACCCTGAGCACATGTGACAGACGTGAAAGGGTCTGGAGAAGCCGTGGAGAGCATTATACTGCCTGTAACATCGTTCAGCATGACCATTTTGGTGGTGGGTCAGTGATGGTCTGGAGAGGAATATACATGGAAGGATGCACAGACCTCTACAGGCTAGACCAGCAATGGGCAAACTACGTCCCGCGGGCCGTATACGGCCCGGCGGACCTTTTAATTCGGCTAGGCTCCTCTCACAGTCCGCCCTAAAGACCGGTGTAACATGAAAATCTGTCTCCTATGAGGATCTGTCCCCCTCGACGTATCTGCGCATGTGCCGGAGATCGCCGATCGGCTGCTAATGCCTGAAACTGGCACATGCGCAGATACGTCGAGGGGGACAGATCCTCATAGGAGACAGATTTTCATGCTACACCGGAACGGCGCGGGACACGGCGAGAGGAACGCGTGGAGCAAAGGTAAGTGAATTCACACAGGGGGGACTTAATATGGGGGATGAATTACTATAGGGGTGATGAATTACTATATGGGGGATGAATTACTATGGGGGATGAATTACTATATGGGGGATGAATTACTATGGGGGATGAGTTACTATATGGGGGATGAATTACTATGGGGGATGAATTACTATATGGGGGATGAATTACTATGGGGGGATGAATTACTATATGGGAGATGAATTACTATGGGGGATGAATTACTATGGGGGATGAATTACTATATCGGGGATGAATTACTATGGGGGATGAATTACTATATGGGGGATGAATTACTATATGGGGGATGAATTAGTATGGGGGATGAATTACTATATGGGGGACGAATTACTATATGGGGGACGAATTACTATATGGGGGATGAATTACTATGGGGGATGAATTACTATATGGGGGTTGAATTACTATATGGGGGATGAATTACTATATGGGGGATGAATTACTATATGGGGGATGAATTACTATGGGGGATGAATTACTATATGGGGGATTAATTACTATGCTTACTATGGGGGAATATTACTATACTTACTATGGATGACACATACACATCATTCATCTACTCTTGGTCCGGCCCCCGGGTCCAATATATGAACCCATTGCGGCCCTTAAGTCAAAAAGTTTGCCCACCCCTGGGCTAGACAATAGCACCCTGACTGCCATTAGGTATCGGGATGAAATCCTTGGACCCATTGTCAGACCCTACGCCAGATATAAAAATTCTATGTGATTTTTTTATCCTTTAAAGTGGTTCTAAAGTCAAGACTTTTTTTACCTTAATGCTTTTGCTTCAAGAAAATCTAAAAAATGTTCCACTACCTACTCCTTCCCCCCATCCCCCCTTCCCTAAACACTTACCCGAGTCCTCTCTTGATCCAGCATTGTTACTGTCTGCAGCAGTGCTGCTCTCCTCTTTTCTCCCAGCAGGACTCACTAACAGCAGTGGAACCCATTGGTTCCTGCTGCTGTCAGTCAAATCCTGTGAGGGGTGGGGCCAAGCAATGGTGTGTGTGTATGTGTGTGTCAATGGATGCACACAGCCCTGCTCAGGAGTACACCTGCAGGAGTGACTCTTCAGCAGTAGACTTGCTGAGGGGGCACTCAGAGAAGAGGAGGAGCTGAGAGCATCAGCAAGGGACTTTAGAAAGTCAGGTAAGCAGCTGCTCTGTTCAATACAATTGCCAATGCCACAAAAAAGCCCATTGAGGCATATCAAGATGTTTTGGGGCATATTGTAACTGGTGGTTTTTGTGGCATTGGCGCTGTAAAGGCTTTTTCTGGCAACTCGATCACGCAGCTCAATTTTTGTTTAAGTATCATAGTATCATGCTCCTCGAAACAACCACACCCTGTATTTCTCCTGAGGTTACCTGTGGGTTTTTCTTTGTATCCTAATCAATTCTTCTGGCAGTTGTGGCTGCAATTATTCTTGGTCTACCTGACCTTGGCTTGGTATCAAAAGATCACCCAATTTCCCACTTCTTAATAAGTGATTAGACAGTACTGACTGGCATATTCAAGGCTTCCGATAGCTTTTTTATATCTTTATCCATCATTATAAAGTTCCATTACCTTATTATGCAGGTCTTTTGACAGTTCTTTTCTGCTCCCCATGGCTCAGTATCTAGCCTGATCAGTGCATCCACGTGAGAGCTAGCAAACTCATTGACTATTTATTCAGAGACACTAATTGCAATTTAAAAAGTCACAGATGTGGGAAATTAACCTTTTATTGCCATTTTAACCTGTGTGTGTTACTTTGTGTGTCTGTACCAAGCTCAATCATTCCAGGGTATGTACACTTTTGATCAGGGCCATTTAGGTGATTTCTGTTATCATTATAATTTAAAAAGGAGCCAAACAACTATGTGATAATAAATGGCTTCATATGATCACTATCCTTAACTGCCCCTCACCCACCGTATAGGGAAATGACGACTGGGCAGGAGCTCTCTTGCTCTCGGAGGACGTCATATGACGTCTTCCCACTCTAGCTGCGCATGCGCTCCCTGGGGGGTGTGCGGCTCAGTGATCGATGATGTGCTGTGTCCCCAGTGCCTGTCAGTGATGCCTGTCAATGCCCATCATTACTGCCTATCAGTGCCTCCTCATCAGTGCAGTCTGTCAGTACCCATCAGTGCCTCCTATCCGTGCCAGTCAGTGCTGCCTATCAGTGCCCATCAGTGTTATCAGTGATGCCTGTCAGTGCTGTCTATCAATACCTCCTATCAGTGCAGCCTCATTAGCACACATCAGTGAAGGAGAAAATTACTTATTCACAACACTTTTATAACAGAAACTAAGAATTTTGTTTTCAAATTGTTGTTTTTTTCAGTTTGTTTAGCAAAAAACTCAGTGGTGATAAAACACCACCAAAAGAAAGCTCTACCTGTCTCAAAAAATGATACAAATTTGGTTTGGGTACAGTGTTGCATGACTGCGCAATTGTCATTCAAAGTGTGACAGCGCTGAAGGCTGAAAATTGGCCTGGGCAGGAAGGGGGTGAAAGTGCCCAGTAGGCAAGTGGTTAAATAATAGACATTTTTTTTTCATGGTCAGTCATATTTTCAATATTAATGCCAAAATGTAATGATTTTTCCCAGGCTATGCAAACGTTTGAGCACAACTATAAGTATGACATGTTTATTATTTTAGGGAAAAAAAAAACCCTTTAATATCACTTAAAAAAAAAAACAGAGCCTTTGCAGCCACTTTAGGATCAGCAGCCAGAGCCAGACAAATAATTCCTTTATGCCCCTGCGGCCATCTGTATCCAGAATTGATGATTAATTGCACATATAGAGCCTAATATACAACAAGCAGCTCTACATTCATCCTTCAAGAAAAAAAAATGTGATTTGCAATGACATGAACATCCCTTCTTTGTAAGAAAGCCTTCATTTTTTAATTAAAGTAATATGAGTAAGTTGAAGAAGATATGCTTCAATAAAAAGACTTTACCCTTAGGGCCTAATTATGCAAAAGATCCAAAGTGTATGTAGGCTGGGATCACATTGTAACTGAAAATAGGACATGGTATTCCAGGTGTAGTGCAATCGATTGGTGGAGTTCCGGAAGTTCAAGAAGAGTTTCATTAGTATTCCAATATAGCTAAAAAGTGCATTAGTTAAGTGACTACATATAGCATCGTGGAGGGAGTCTGTCCCCAGTCTTCTTTTAAGTGACGTCTGTTGGTTTGGTATAGATATTTCATTCTGGGATAGTACTGCACTTGTATCTGAACTCCTTCACCACTGCTGGTCTGAAAGGGTCACTAAACCCACATCATACAAAGCTATCAATAAATGCTGTATTACATGCTGTTCATACTCAGTCACTATGGGATTTGTTTCTGTATTTTGCAAAAAACCTGGTTGATCCTGCTGGTCTCCCCTTTCTGTCCATGTCCCCAATGCAGTTGGGGATTCTGCAGAGCAGTCATGGCAGTTACTGCACATGCTCAGTTTTTAGGGAGTTTCTATGCTGTGCATTTCCTTCCTATCACATCTGAGCAGCCCGTGTGACTATAGAGTCGCACATGTGTGCATATCCACAGACATATGACAGCCCACTCCCTTCCTCCTCCTTCATGCCCACTAACCAGCTAAACACAATGGGGGGAGGAATATTACATTTTGATTAATGGAGGCTTCACCTCCCTGTTATTCTAAGACACAGGCTGGAGCGGTATGATACAGCCTGTGACTGTATTTTTTTGTCAACAAAAAAAAAATTATTTCAAATATGTACTGTATTTGTATGACGATTTAAAACAATTTTTTTTATTTTGAACATGTGACCAGCAGCAAAGGACTAGAAGCTGCTCCTGCCAGTGTTTCCCTGCAGACAGGCTAGGAAAGAGCTGGGTCATGTGACAGCTGTATATCGATTAGGAAAAAGGTACTTACCGTATTTTCCGGCGTATAAGACAACGTTTTTTACTTAAAAACATACCCCAACAATTGGGGGTCGTCTTATACGCCGGTGATACTGTATGGTAGCTTCAGCTACATACAGTGTACCGCGCTGAGCCAATCACGGCGAGCAATGTATTCTATTAATGAATACAGAGCCTGCTCGGATTGGCTGAAGTTGTGACATCATCAGCCCGCCTCTCTGACACAGCCAATCCGAGCAGGCTCTGTATTCATTAATAGAATACATCACTTGCCGTGATTGGCTTATATGACGTCCTTCCATTCTCCGCGCATGCGCGGCGATGCGCTGTGTCCCTCGACACAGCTATCACCGATCACGGAAAGAGCCGAAGATGTCGGCTCGGTCATGTGATCAGCTGTGTCCAATCACAGCTGATCACATGTAAACAGGGAAATGCCGGTTATCGGCATTTCTCTCCTCTCGAGCTGTCACGCTGACAGCTCGAGAGGAGAGCCGGTAATCGGCTTTCTGCGGAGGGGACATGTACACTGATCATCAGTGCACTGATGATCAGTGTGCGCTGATGATCAGTGTAGCCCCAGCAGTGCCAGCTGTCAGTGTCCATCAGTGCCACATCAATGCCACATATCAGTGCCCATCTGAGCTGCCTTTCAGTGTCACCCATCAGTGCCAGTCAGTGCCACCTATCAGTGCTGCCAATCAGTGCCACCTATCAGTGCCATGTATCAGTGCTGCCTTTCAGTGCCCATCAGTGATGCCTGTCAATGCCCATCAGTGATGCCAGTCAGTGCAGCCTATCAGTGCCAGTCAGTGCCGCCTATCAGTGCCATGTATCAGTGCCATGTATCAGTGCTGCCTTTCAGTGCCCATCAGTGATGCCTGCCAATGCCCATCAGTTCCACCTACTAGTGCCTCCTCATCAGTGCCCTTCAGTGCCACCTATTTCATATGGGTACAGTTTTGCATGACCGCGCAATTGTCATTCAAAGTGTGACAGCGCTGAAAGCTGAAAATTGGCCTGGGGAGTAAGTGGGTATAAGTGCCCTGTAGGCTAGGGGTTAAATGGTGTTGCCTCAGAAGGGGGGTAGACTTATACGACGAGTACAGCCCAAAACCTATGTTTTAACTGGAAAATTAGGGGGTCGTCTCATACACCCAGTCGCCTTATACGCCGGAAAATACGGTAGATGTATTTTTTTATTAAAATAATTACAGTGCCAACATCCCCATAGAGAAAGAGAAGGTATAATGTACATTAAACAGTGTGTGTTTAGTATCACTTTTGAAGTGTAAGGAAGTAAAGTCCACTTTGTAAGTTGTACCTACAGGTAAGCCTATAATAAGTGCTTCCCCTTCTAGTTTGTGTTGTGTAGGGGGTTACAGGAGTCTGATGTCATTTTAAATTCTTTTTTAAATATTACTTGTATGGAAAAATACAATTCATTTTTATTGTAATAAAAAGTTGATTAAATTGGGTGTTTGGAACATTTGATGCAGAGTGTTTCTAGACATAATAATTTAGGGTCTTTTCATATGAGGGGACATATAAGATCCACCTGTCGTGTTTTTTTTTTGGCCTTGGAAGCTCTCAGTGTTTAGGCAGATGGATGTAAACGAATGCGCTTACATTTACATCCAATACCCTCCAAGTCTGTCCTGGTCTGAAAAATCCTTTTTCATTTTCTTCAGTTCTAAACATTACAGATTAGAGGTAAAAGGATGTTAGCAGATGCACGTTCATTTAAATCCACCTGCCCAGCGACCTAATATAAGTCCACTCGCTCTAACACATCAGTTGTCACCAAACATTCGGGAGCGGGGTTGACACCGTAAGGTCACCATGCACAAAGAGACAAAGAAGCGATCCATACATACTCTCAGGAGTATTCTGTTGCAGGGAGCACTGTGTTAATTTTAATGTGTGAGTAGATTTCATCTGTGTTAATAAACTTTATGTATGGTTTTACAGGGCCAGTGAAGGGATATTTGTCTACACAGACGAAGGTGCATTTTACTGTAATCTATTTTTCATGAAATCATTCCCTACTGTGTTTTTCTACCTCCTTGTAATGTCCTCCCAAAACAAATGAGCAGTACATGTTAGTTGTGATCTTATTCACTGCTCTATGCACACTATATATTCCAGAGTATAAAGTCCCTAGCTCATCTCGGGAGAGAGCAAGAGAGGGTGGTCACCACATACAGTGGAACCATGAAGAATGAATGTAGCCACCAAGGACCGAAAGGATGGGAGACATGATTGATTGAACCTTTAAATACATCAAGGGGGTGAATAAGGTTCAGAGGATAACTTTTTCAATATGAAGCTAAGATGAAGAACATGGGGACATGACCTCAAACTAGCAGGAGGAAAGTTCAAAACCAATCTTGGGAAGTGTTATTTTACTGAAGTGGTAGTTCAAGTTTGGTAAAGCTTCCAGCAGAGGTAGTGAGTCAGTCAACATTAGGTGGATTCAGATATGCGTGGGACAATCATAGATCTGTACTCAGACAATAAAAAGTAAAAAAAAGAACCACACACACACAAAAGAAAACACATATAACAAAAAACAATCAAGCAGACTTGATGGACCACTTGTTTTTTTTTTTCTGAGTATCAGAGGTACCACATTGGAAGACAAGAGAAGGGTCGGCTAACAGGCCAAGGTCAATATTAGGCGAGCAGCAGAAGTACCAAAAAAGCAATTGGAAGGCAAAATCAGGACATAAGCCAAGGTCACTATGTAGGCAGGTGTTAGGTTCCTCTGTAAGGTGCCTCCTCCCCTTGGGTGGAGGCTGGAAGATTGGGCAGGACCTGGGAGGGAGGTGGCTCAGACTAGAGAAGAAGAGAAAGGACAATATCTGTCTGCTGAGCTCCTGCTCTTCCATTTCTGGGAGAGGGCAGGATTCCCTTGAGTTTCCCATTCTAGCCCAAAGAGTGAGAAGAGAGGACCTTGAAAGCTGTTTCACTCCTCTGTCTCTTCCATCCTTAGTCAGGAAAAACAATAGGACCATCCATCCGCAGGGACAAAAGCAGTCACTTCCAGTGCCTGGGACCAAAGGTCAATTCATTATTGGATTTATTTCTATTATTTTATTTCAGGTACTAATATAGCGCCAGCAATTTACACAGCGTTTTACATATATATTGTACATTCACATCAGTCCCTAACCCTCAACGAGTGTACAATATAAGGTCTCTAACTTACAGTATATTCATACATACATATACTAGGGCCAATTTAGACAGGATCCAATTAACCTACCAGCATGTCTTTGGATTGAAGCCATGTATCGATTGAAGCTTTCAGTAAAGAACATTAATCACATCCAGCCTTGTGGTGCCTTTATTGGTAAGAATGCTTCTCTGAAGAGTGTGAGCATAGGTTTACTACTGGTGTCCCCTGAATGTCAGGCCTGGAGAAGGTGCCCCATGTCTGGAACCCCTAGAAGTGAAGGAGATGAAGTACACAGTCAGGATGGTGGATCGGGGGTCAATTTTCACCCATGACCCACAAATCGGGGAGAGTTGTTGGGCAAAGCCCTGTATTGCCCAGAAGGTTAGTGTTATGTTGGTGTGGGGGGGTGGCTCGGCTGCTTCTATAGGGCCATGAGCAAGGCAGCCCTCCAACAAGCAACAGGAGATCAAGATAAAACAGAGTTAGGAGGCAAGCCAGGTCAAATACAACGTTGCAGGATACAGGTCTGCTTACGGGTCACAGGTGCTGATGACAACTCAGCCATTCTCTTTAGTTGTGCTGAGCTTTAAATAGGCCTCTGGGTGCCAAAAACCAGTACGAGACATACACACAAACTCACACTAAACACGTGCAGATGTACCAGCCTTGACTCTGTGTACTGGTCCATGCACTGCACCATGCACATGCTCAGATCTTCAGGCACTGCCATGCACTTGATCTTTCTGACAGTAGAGAAGCAGTTGGGAAGTGTAAAAAAACACTGACTGATCACATTAAGTGTGTACCCTTGTTCTGTAGCTGCATGGACATTCCTACGTGTCCACATGCATTCACATTTACATTTATTTGTTTTAGGATATAACGGATACATATCTGCTAGGGCAGATATTTATTCTTGTGCCTTCTTCACTAGGATCTTGATCTGCTGCTACTGGACATTAAGGGGTTAATGGCTCTGATGAGAGAAACAGACAGTGGTATTGCACACAATATCCAGCATGTTATTCTTGGATCCTGTTCCACAGATATCTCTCTAGAGGATTCCTGCTGAGAATCAGGACATTTCATCTGATGCATTTTCTTGTGAACTCACAATCCATTGTGTTGTATGTAGTAGATTTATAGTGCCTTTTACCCATCAGTTGCCATTGATCTTTTGTCAGTTTGCATTCAGGTAAAGAACCATTAACTGGATATATAACCTTAGTCTTGTATTATTATTATTTCTTTGTATCATTTGTATACTGTATCTAAGCAGTGCTTTCCCTACTAAGAGGTTTTTAACTAAAGGGAATTTTTGATTTCCATTAGGACCCCTGTACATATCATATTGCATTGCGCACAGACCTAAAGCAGACCCATAGTCTGGCATAAACACAAAGCCCATAGCTTTCAATTGTCACTTATTTGGAGAGACTGTTCCTCTTTGGAAACAAAACCCCCTGTCCCTCTTTCTTCCCTAATTGTCCTTCTTTTTGGTGTGATGTACAGACCTCCAAAAAAATCTGTTACTTGATTCCAAAAGTGTTATATTGTATTAAAGGAGATGAATAGGGACTCAGGTGTTCCAATCACCTCCATGGTCACAGGTATATAAAATCAAGTACCTAGGCATGCAGACTGCTTCTACAAACATTTGTGAAAGAATGGGTCGCTCTCAGGAGCTCAGTGAATTCAAGCGTGGTACCGTGATAGGTTGCCACCTGTGCAATAAGTCCATCCATGAAATTTCCTTGCTACTAAATATTCCATGGTCAACTGTTAGTGATATTATAACACAGTGGAAGCAACTGGGAATTACAGCAACTCAGCCACAAAGAGGTAGGCCACATAAAATGACAGAGCGGAGTCAGCACATCCTGAAGTCGCCAACTGTCTGCAGAGCCAATAGCTAAAGACCTCCAAACTTTGTATGGCCTTCAGATTAGCACAACAACAGTGCGTAGAGAGCTTCAATGAAGCGTTTCTATGTCCAATCAGCTGCATCCAAGCCTTATATCATCAAGTGCAATGCAAAGCGTTGGATACAGTGGTGTAAAGCACACCACCACTGGACTCTAGATGAGTGGAGATGTGTTCTGTGGACTGACAAATCATGCTTCTATGTCTGGCAATCCGACGGATGTGTCTGGGTTTGGTGGTTGCCAGGAGAACGATACTTGCCTGCCTGCATTGTGCCAAGTGTAATGTTTGGTGGAGGGGGGATTATGGTGTGGGGTTGTTTTTCAGGGGTTGGTCTTGGCTCCTTAGTTCCAGTAAAGGGAACTCTTAAGGTGTCAGCATACGAAGACATTTTGGATAATTTCATGCTACCACCTTTGCGGGAACAGTTTGGGGATGACCCCTTCCTGTTCCAACATGACTGAGCACCAGTGCACAAAGCAAGATCCACAGAGACATGGATGAGTGAGTTTGGGGTGGAGGAACTTGACTGGCCTGCACCTCAACCTGATAGAACACCTTTGGGATGAATTAGAGAGGAGACAGTGAGCCAGGCCTTCTCGTCCACCATCAGTGCCTGACTTCACAAATGTGCTTCTGGAAGAATGCTCAAACATTCCCATAGACACACTCTTAAACCTTGTGGACAGCCTTCCCAGAAGATTTGGAGCTGATAAAACGGCAAAGGGTGGGCCAACTCAATGTTGAATCCTACAGACTAAGACTGGGATGTCATTAAGTTTATATGTGTGTAAAGGCAGGCATCCCAATACTTTTGGCAACATAGTGTGTATCCTTTATG